TATATCATTGTTAACATTAATAAAAATGTAGTTGATCAAGTTCTCTTAAATAATCAGACATAGAGAATAGGAATATTGTTCTAGCTATATAGTCATTGACACTAAAATGTGGAGATTGATCTGGATCCCGAAGACACATGTAAGTTGCCAGAAATTTAATAGAAGTACGTCATTGTACGATCACCGAATCATTATATCCTCTCAAAAATAGAAGCTCAATACCGTGTCGCCTGAATGACGCCACTCGTCGAAGTGTCTCTTGATTCCCGACATGGCGGTGTTTCAGTATGAGATCAGCTGCTGTTCGTTAAGGATAAACTTGTGTATGGTGAAACTTCCGAGTGACAATGAATGTACCTAATTTTGATCGATAAAGGTGTATCGAAGGTTCAAAGTATAATTCCAGGAATAGAAGCCTAAATTGACGCCAGAAGCTGATTTGGATACATTTCGGTCACAATGCTAGAGGTCATACCTAAAATCTGTCAGCCGTTTGTATACTAACGTTCATGTTGGAATACAGGATACGTGCGATTGACACATGGTCCAGGAGACGTCATATGTAGACACATGTTCTGAGCGATTTAAAAACCGAAGTTCAATAATCATTTATACGATTTTAGAAGATAGGACATGCAGAGTGATAGTGATGCGTTTGATAATAATATGGCTTTACGATACGCATAGTTTTATTCGCACGCTTTTAGGTACGGCACGCGTATTTCCCCTACGATCTTGATTTTGTTTTTATTTCGGCGGACGAGGGAACGCGATCCAAGTACAAGAAGAACCGATTCCATGACATATTTGACCAAAGCGCAAGACAAAAGAATCGAACCCATAAGAGGCTTGACCAAAACTTTTAATATCTCTCCCAAACTTTATCGATCAGCGAGTGGACGTCGATGCATCTTCTGAATAATTAATATCGACAAGACCGATGTAGCTGATAAATGAGATCGCAACATTGGTATGGACCTCCACGGAAACAAAAAGTGGGCGCAGTTTGGTGGGAATAGACTTATTCAATTCAACTAAGTCGTAAAACAAGATTGCTCTAGATCAACAAAACAGAGATTTAGACAGCTTTAATGGTTAGACGGTCATTTCGAGTAGATGCAAGGCAAGGTCAAGTGGGACCAAGTATTTACGAAGCATATTGGCCGAAGTCAAACAATATGCTTCATACGGCAAATTGCACATACCTAGTTTACGCAGCTATCGCCTAAACGAAGCCTTAAATCCAAGCGAGATGGACGTTTTCAATCCTGTTACGAAGAGTAAAAGATAGCCCGGAAACCAGTACGCAAGCTGAGCACAAAATGGAAAGATTACAATGATCATGGTACGCCTTCGTAAGTTGGCAGGTTCGAAAGTATAATAGGTCTCTGTATTCATCAGCTAGTATACGAAGTTGGTATCTCCACACTGACCATGCGTCTCTGGTCACGGCCGTTAACGGTCTATACCTCAAACGAAGGATGCCAATGCAGTAGTTGTTCAATGGGAAGTACAATGACACCGTGAAGTACAAATCAGAGCAAATGGACGCTGTTGCTGATGAACAATCCCACTGGATTAATTCTGAGCTGGTGCAGCATTTTGACAGTCGGAATTAGGTCGATGTTTAATAGCTAGATAGCCGTGTTTTTCCGCCGAATCGGCTTGACGACGAATAAAAGAAGTATATAAAAGCTTCATGCCTTGTGTGGGTTGTGTAATTCCGATGTATCACCTTACGCATCCATCTGGGCCAATTTTGAAACGCTTGCCAGTACGGTGACGACCTAAATGGCCGTCACCGATCACAAATAATGGGATGCCATGCTGTACGATATTGAATCTTACCGGAGCAACACCACGTGTCGTCGTTACGTACTTAATCACATTATTCTGTGACTGCCCGATCCTTTTCGATTGGACCTATACACCGATAAGTTGTCATCGTGGCCTTTAGAAGCGTTGTCTCACAGTCAGCAAAGACTACAATGGCCGCGCCAGATTTGAATTTGTGCTTAATTTTACCCGAGCTTGCAAGGTCCGTCAGAGAATGAAGCCTAGTACAGCATACTGTCGATTGTTGCATCATTTACCAGTTTCGACAGAGTGGTGGAAGTCACTTTTTGTTTACTATACCATTTGATAAACTAGATGTCATTTCATAAATAATGGCATTATTGTGACGCATTTTTTACAAATTTAGCATTATGGTGCATTTTTGTTGTCCTAATGTTGCTCACAACTGACGTCTGCGTTCGAATTATTTCAGAAACAATTCAAACTCACGGACTACATCTTAAGCTCTCATCCGATCTATATTCTCTATTTCCGGCGGAATATAGACCACCTGTGTTTCGTTTACATGGGGCACGGTCGAAAATACCTACTTATATACCCGAAAACAGATGGTCAGACAAAACATGCAAACCTGAGTTTTGAATGAGATAATTCGAGGAAGCGTCCACTCGTATGCGAGCTGGAGTAAATTCTCATATTTTTCCTGAATTTGCCATCAACAAGTTAGCGCGTAGGTCGACAGGGCAGAAACATTCCCTCGTAAATGTTTGCTTACGCAAATTTCGCATTCCCACTTCGTGGAAGTTCGACCGTGGCTTAAAGTGGGTTATTTAGCCGACTCATCTACGGACGTATCATTTATTGATCACGCGATAACATGAAAATTGATGAGAAGGCCGTTACTGCCTGATTGATCAACAATTAAGACACCAAATTTTCAGAAGCGCTATGCTACTTCAGGATATATTATAGACACGGGTATATCCAGCATCGTTGATGACTGTACAAGCTAGGGAGAAGATATAATCGCTGTGGAAAATGGAGGTGGTCTAGCTGAGGGATCGAAAATCGCTTTGCAGTGCGCATAGGGAGTACTGATATAAATATAAATAAGCAAGGTGGAACTTTACTGCTGGCAAATGAGGTGGTTGTTCGTTTCATGAACGATCACATCGTGGGATCGGCAGTTTTTCTGAAACGAAATGCTGAAAATATAGAGGAAAAATAGTATTTTCGTTTCTAAAAATTTCTTCGTCCGCATCCTACGGCATATTAGCCAAGACACAGATAAGGTAGGCAGCAGTAAAGACTGCCTGATTACGAAAGTTTAACATCGCTTGATGCTTGACAAAGGCAACGCGACCAAAACTTGAGTCGACAAGAAGAAAGTGCACGCATCTCATATTCTGTGTGGTGATTTTTACGACCTTACATTCAGAACGATCTCTCCATCGATGGTAAAGATTACATTAGACTCTTGCGGTCACGATTCATTCAAATGACACGATCGTGTAAAGAAGAAACCCTTGACATTACTGGAATACCTCCTGACGCGCCTTGACCGCTATCACACAGAAAATAAATTCTCGAACAAAGACCGATCGAGGAAAAGCAAGGTGTATCCGTAACGCAATCGACAAGATGTCAACAGTATTGGATAGGGACAAATATATGTTTCGCTCGTTTCCATCATCCTCGCGTAAACAAAGTGGTGCACAATTTAGCCATCAACATCAGATGAACGGAGTTTTAATTAGACCAGGTCCTACTACCATTATATCATTAGAGGATTCGTAGTTGACGCTTTCTGAAAGAAGGCATCTTGAACAGCCGTGGCGCAAAAAATCGTCGGGCGAGGCCCTTCATCCAGTATAGCAGACATACTCCATTATTGGAATGTAGGATGGATCAGTTGTCTTCGTATAGTACCACAGCGAGACCCACCCAAAGATAAATAGAGGCCATCGGAAATTAAAAGTCTAAGGCGCTCTTAAGGGGCTTAAGAGGTCGCAACTTCTGTTTCATCGAAGACGAGCGTGAGTCTTCCAACAAAACTGCTTCGAGAGGACGCCCTCTCAAGGGCACGATTCAAGCTGTTAATCTCGTGCAGAGGACGTCTTAATATGCTAAATGGATTCATTGATACAGGGAAGAGTAGGATTGTACATAGTATAGTTAATCTGCACAACCTAAACCCTTCGATCTTTCTCTATTATATATAACTACAAGCGTCAAATGGAGAAGCGCGTTCACCACCCATTGCGCGCGTCTAGCAGCAAATTGTGGTTAAACGAGGTATATAATAGCGTATTTCCGGACCAATGTTTGGAGGTGTGTCGTGTATTGTCTTCAACGGTAACATTCCACCAATATTTACATAGTTTAGTAAATATTGTAGAATTCCATTTACTAATAATTTTCCTTGACCCATCCTTCGTGTCAATGACAGGTGAGAAGGTCAATAAGGGAGATTTTGAAGAAGATATACGTGAAATGATCTCAACCATGCGAGTATCCGGTCGCTTAGTATACACTAGTGGTGTATTTTTTCGTTTCGCAATTACATAGGACTTTTAAGACATTATTATTAAAGGTCGCAGTGCATTTATTAAATGCTTGGCTCGTTTTATTATTTTCTATCTCGTAGTGCAACATTTGTTCTTCGCGATGATTCGGCGCATTATGTTTTTCAAGATTTTCGACAATTCGTTACCTTTGCTAAAAGCATCAGCACACAGATCACGTGTATGTGCTTCAACTGCCGGTCTTTCCTCAACCTTGAATCGACCGGTTGTACTTTGCATAACCATAGCTTGATCCTATTGCTCTCATAAAAAATGAGAAGGCATAACGCGGCTCACGACACTCGTAATAATCATACACTGGCACTCTGGTACAGTAGCTCGTCCATTAATCGAGTTCACCTCGGCAAAGGATGCGGTCGGTCAATGGAAATCGGGTCGCTAGTGCTGACGTCAATCGCGTTCATACGATAAAGCTCTCCATCGGCGTGTCAAGTACTAGAATGGCAATCTCTAACAAGTCGTGACGTTTATTCTAGTACTGAGAAAGATGTCCTTCACGACCACGACCTTGCACTGACGCGCTCGCCGTCGACTCTGCACGCACGTCCTCTCTCTATGTCTCCTTGCTCGCGCCTTGAACAACATCTTGTCAACTACCGCATCGTTGCACGCATTCGCTTAGCCTTCCTTGAACAAGTAACTGTAGGCGCTCAATACCGGTGCTCCACCCAGGTGGGCGTACAATACATTCGAGCCCTCCGGGAACTCGCCGTTGCGCACCATGGATAGCATGCCGTCCATGGACTTGCCCTCGTACACTGGATCAGTGAGCATACCTTCCGTGCGCGCGCATAGTCGAATCGCGTCGAGCGTTCCTTGGTTGGGCAGACCGTACTCGGGTCCACCGAATCGAGTGTCCAGCACAATGTCGTCCGACGTGATCGCGCGCCCCAGCTCGACCAGGTCCGCAGTATTCCTGGCGATACGCAGCACCTGCTCGCGCGTTTTCTCGGGTGTGGCGGACGCGTCAATGCCAATGACTTTGTTCGCCCGTCCGTCAGCGGCAAAGCCAACGACCATGCCCGCCATCGTGCTGCCTGTCACGGCGCACACGACGATGTAGTCAAACTTGAAGCCCAGCTCGTTCTCCTGCTGCCGGACTTCCTCGGCGAATTCGACAAAGCCCAAGCCACCTCTCGGATGCTCCGAGCAGCCAGCTGGAATCGGGTACGGCTTGCCGCCGGCCTTCTTGACGCTCTCCATCGCGGCTTCCCAGCTCGGACGAATGCCAATGTCAAAGCCGGCGGCATCTCGACGCACGTCTGCGCCAAGAATACGCGACAGCTCAATGTTGCCAACAGTGTCGTACACTGGCGCCTCGTCGATCGGGTAGTTGACCCAGTTCTCTTGCACCAAGACACACTTGAAGCCAAGATGCGCGGCCACGGCCGCCACCTGACGCGTTTGGTTGGACTGAATGCCGCCAATGGACACGAGCGTGTCGTAGCCGCCCGCAATGGCTTCAGGAATGATGTACTCGAGCTTGCGCGTCTTGTTGCCGCCAAAGGCCAGACCCGAGTTGCAGTCCTCGCGCTTGGCGTAGAGCTGCACGTTGTTGCCCAGCGCTTTGGACAGCCGTGCCAGGTGCTGGATGGGCGACGGACCGGCAAAGGTGAGGGCGTGTTTCGCAAACGAGGAAAGCTTCATCTCGCGTGTGGTCCGGGAGGCGGAGCAGGGCGTGCAACGGAAGAGGTCAAACAAGGAATGAGGTGCCGTCGCGCCTTCCCGAGCAAAAGCTTTCAATGTTAACACAGCCGACGAGGGCGACACTGAGCACTTGGGGAACCTACCGACTGTCCGCGGCATTCGTCCTGTCGGGGAAAACAAAGACCGGCCACAGGAATGATTCGAGTCGGAGTCGCGTGGTGATGATGGGATGCGAACAGGTCGAGAGCGGCGACTGGCAACGGGTGTTGTCGTTGCACTGGGGCGGGGGCCCACACATGACGAAGGGTTTCACTGATAACGGTGAGGTGATTACTTCTGGCGGTTCCTTGGCGGCGACATCAGGACATGGCACACGCACGCACCTACACCCACGAGCTGCTACGTTCGACTTGTGAACATGTCGCACGTGGTGCGCCGATAAGGATGCGGGCGCGACGTACAGTCGTACGGTCGCTGCGTGGCAGGATAAGATCGAGGACATGCAAAGACAGAGCTGTCACCAGAAGAGAAGGGACCAGGGGCTACCACTTGAACCCGTGCTGCGTCGCCTGCAACTGCAAGTTTGCAGCCGGTAAGACAGACAGAGAGAGAGCACTTCACAGGCAGGGCGTTACACACCACCAGATACAGTCTGTATCTACGAGACCCCCGTGCGACACAGGCTGGTCGAGCGTCGATCCCTTGAGGTCGATCAGTCTCCCCTGCTTTGTTCTGTTCAGTTGTAGGGTGTGTGTACGCTCCTCGCGAGTGTCCGCCATTCGTGCCTACATATGTGACAGTGCAGCTGAGACGCACGTCCCGCAGTATGGCGCGTGTGAAGTGTGGTATGATGGAAGATACGCTTTGGGCCAGCTACTGACCCACACACACGCGTCTTACCATGGTAAGCTGCGCGTTTCTAGCGGGTCACAACCGATGAGAAGATGTTGGCACGTGTACTTTGTGGTCTCGACCAACAAGGGCCGGCACAAGTCGGTTGTTGTTGTTGTTGTTGTTGTTGTTGTTGTTGTTGTCGTGCACTATCCCCTCGATCGATGTGCCCTCGACAATGTAATGAATAATCGGTATGATCTCGTCAAACGAAGGTTGAGAAGACGACCGCTGCAACTACGAGGACGGCAACAGGGTTGATGGGTGCTCGCAGCCATTGCTAGCACACGTCTCCGACAACATCATGTTGTGCATGCGGCCGGGATCCCGCTCGGTTCAAATGAACCTCAACTTACAGCAGTAGACATGTGCTCGGAAACGCTGGATGCGTCATCGTCGACGAAGTCGACGCTTCTCGACGCGCTGTCAGAGATGGTCGCTTTTGTGGATATAGTTGCGGCTATCAGCCATCATGTCAACATCGGTCATTGCATGTACCATTGCAAAAATATCGATCGTTTCTCCAGATACACGGCTCTCCTTTGACATCCCAACCTGCTAGGATCGATCGACATTGTGATTCTTGCGCTATGTGATGTCGCGGACGTGGATGTACGACAACTCCTGCAGCTTCTGCTATGCCTTTGAAGGTATAAGCTGCGTCGAAGACTACGGAGTACTAACAAATCCAAGACCGATGGGTAAGCTTTGAGTAAAACATGGCCATTGTTCGGTTTAGTCTGCTCGAAATCGTCGAATGAAACTGCTCTGCAGGCCTATAGAAGAATTGAGCTGAAGCCGCGTGCTTTGCCCCAGCGATGTGAAAGTGGTACTACACCCAGCAACGCATACGCGCTCCCGGCTGGTAGCGTTGACAATGGCTCACTCTTGAAAAGGTATCGAAGCTACGAATTCAGATTGGGCGACTCGCGACCTCCGTGGCGAATAGGCTCTGTTCTGTTGGGACCACGTTTGCTGTGAACAAGCGACACTGTTTTTCAGGCGTCTGATCACTCACGCTACGTCAGAGATTGTTATTGAACAGACACGAACGATTCGACTCGTTGGTCGCTTTAGAGCAGCAACGCGGATCAGCTATCGTTAACTGCTCCTGCACTCACTGCCGACAATACCGCAGGCATTGAGAGCTGCCATACATTGCACAAGGATCACCCTCATTATCATGCGGTTAGTACAATAGCGAGCTCGCAAGAACGCGCGCACGCGCAGCCGTCTTCTGTTGCTACTCCTTCCCACGATACATCATCGCAGAGGGATGTCCGCGAACCGCTCTCGTGCCAAACCATTGCACCGTAGCCACGGTTGAGCTGACGAGTTGGTCGCCCTACAAGAGCGCTGAAGGTCCGCTTGCAGACACGTTCTCCGACACATCCTTCATCGAAAATATTGATCGACGGGATCTGGGAAAAATGGCGACAAGAAAGTAGTCTCGTAGCTACGTCTTGAATGTGGTGGTGTCCAAGTATACTCGTTCAATTGAGGCATGTGCGTGTATCATGTCAGTTAGATGCGTGGTAGCGTTTAACTGGCACGATACACGCACATGCGATGAGGAGCTGGCCCGTCCAGATGAAGCTACAGAATCGTGATACACACAGTGTCAGGATTGGTGACGTCACGCAGGAGAGTACGCGCGCGACAATGCCGCATTGGCAGGCTGTCAGAAGTGTCCAGAAACCTTGACAATACCATCCTCTGAGCTTTCGCGAGCCCATTGGGTGACGCTCTCAGTGGGTGTGCCTAGGTGAAGACTAACTTCTCGGCAACAACTTGTAGTGCGTTTTGTGTGCCAAAGTCAGAAGGAGACGAGTCGCGAGTCTAACATCGTATTAGGGCTTATACACGGTCGTGTTGTCAATATGCGTGAAAGGTGAAAGGTCACCCTCCTCACTCGGCGGCAGACGAAGCTCCCTTCTGTCGTTCCTCTCCATCCATCGACCTCCTTTCGACTTCGCTTTTGTTGCACAGGTTGGATCAGCAGTCGCCTCTCTTTTTCCTCTACCTCCTCTTGTCGACAATCACAACACCGGTAAGTTGCTTCGTCACACAGCAATTACGATCACACTGTCTTTGTTGCACCTCGAGACGTACAACTCATTCCTTAGCAAGCAAGCCCAATGGTCCGGGTATGTATGAGGACATCTCAAACCATATTGATCTTACCAGACTAGTTAAGTTGGCTCCTCAAGCAAGTTCCAGAGCTTGCTTCTCTGTCGCAGAAAATGACCGATGGGATGCGATGATTGCAGTGTAAGAGCTACTTTTTATTGCATGTCCGTGAAGAAGAGAGAGTCGAAGTTCGAGTTATCAGAGTATCAACAGGCGTGCCCCCAAATTCCGGTCCGACACAGCATCAGCGTGGCAGGAAAGTGCTGCGGCTGTAGTCCGTGCTGACGCACAAAGAGAACCAGATGGTGACAGCTCGCGAGTTCAAGCTGATGCAAGATGAGAACCGTTGTATAACTTCAGAATAGCTGCCGTAGGACCAGGCCTCTTTCATCTTCTACTCTCACTCTTACGAATCAGATTGCACATACCTGTGTTTTCCTTCGCTCATCTAGTGTCGATCCATAGATCTCTACCGGTGGGGCGATTTTAGCTTTTGCACTCCAGAGTTTTCATTACATGTTAACATTATCATGTAATGAAAACTCTCGAGTGCAATAAATGAAGACTGATCATTCCGATACAATGTGGTCTCCTAAACCCGAGACGGACACACGCTTTGTTGATCAGCAAAAATGACACGTACTCTTTTACTAGACGTTCACGCACCTGATGCAACTGTCCTATCACAAGACACACACTTCACCGTGATACAGTTCCTTCCTGTCACAATGTAATGATGACTTCCATTGTTTTGGTCGACCACTCAACACCCAATGGAGTATTACGAAGTATAAGCGAGGCTTCTACAGGTACCACACGCGGTAAGGTGTGTGGGCCGTAAGCAAGAACTGGGGACTGAATGTTACTTGATCGCACCCTTCGGCAACCTCCCATCCTTCAGTGCGATACCCAGACACGCCCCCAGCTCATTCGAGGGTACCTGAGCCACTACTACGAATCCATCACCATCTCTTGAAGCAAAACCACCCGTCGACAAATATCTCTCGAAGTTATTGCAACTGTTATTGCGGATGTGCGACTTCGTAACTTGTGCAGAAAATGGTGTTGGGACAAAAGGGCAGAAAGCAGGAATTGATAGCTCGACTCGCGTGCGCTTGCAGCAGCATGATTAAAAGTGCCGTGAATTTGGGACGGAGAAAAGACGCAAACAAAAGACGTCTTCAAGGACCTCGTGTACCGTTCCGGTAGACTTGTGTAACGTTCTGCCAGCAACTAGGACGAGCAAATACAAGACGACTAGCTTGGTGAGGCGAAAGCAAGCTTGCAACGAGGTCATCCATGAGGTGGTCAGCGTTTAGGAAGCTAAGAAGGGGGGTTATAAGACTCAATAAGCTTGACGAGATTGTCCATTTGGTGTAGGCCGTATCAAATAGTTCTTCACACTCTCTCGATAGGGAAAGCAGCTCCAGCTTTTTTTCTAGCGTTGTGGTTCGTTTCGGCGCTATCAACAATTGCCCTTTCTCTACGCCCGCATCGAACAGCCTAGCATGACTTGTCGGTGCTTGTGATAGAGACTGCATTGATGTGCTAACACGTAATGTAACCTGTCGTAGAAAACGGCACAGAAGATGCAACAAGGATCATTTATCCATATGTGGGGTACCTTCTCGTTAAAAGTGGTAGTGTGCCAGTAGGGGAGAGGTTGATAAAATGAGGGCGGCTGTAAATAGAATGTGTCCCAATAGGATAGCGCAGACCTTGCGCTGATCTAAGACACGTTCTTCGCTATCGGTATACATTTGTAGCAGCGCAATATCCGGCCGGTGGTCGTATACATCCGTTGTCGCAGTGAACGTAGGCTACACTCGACATATATAACGTCAATTTAGCGTTTTGAAAAGCGTTCACTTCAACGTGGTGTTTCTGCCCAACGCTGTTTTCCCACCAAAACAATAACTACCGAGCAATTTATCGATAACGTTGTAGTCCTTCTAGCGTTACACGCCGATTTCGGTATTGGCCGTGTTCTTGACCATCGGCTCTATCGCCTGTTTGTCATCGTCTTTGTCCTCCCCATCGTCGGCCGCTGCATCGTGTCAAGAGTGCTATTCGCAACCGAGAACGGATCGAATGTTTGAGCGAAACGATATTGATAGGACCTCTTTGGGCTGGGTCGTAGGCGTCCAAGAGACTGCCTTGCTCGTCATGCAATCAAGCGATTGCTCCCCTGCGAGGTTCATGGGATGGCAAAACAAATATCGCTGCGAAAGAATGCGCCACTACGTGCTGTAAGAATTCATGTTGCGACCTTCGAGAGATTGGTGGCGTATGCACGCACGAGGATGACAAAGAAGCCAGTAGGGCCCAATAGATCCTAAGAGACAAACGTGTGCTGTAGGGAACGATCATTTCGCTATAATGTCCCTCGAATCAATCTTATGCGATATGTTGGTCCGAATTAGGAACTCGAAAGCACACTACTCTCACCTACGTGTAATGGATCAACAACTGCAGTGCCAAGTGCAGCACATTCGGTGCAGCATCCAATCACTATGTTGCCTTTTAGCGACCAAAATCGCCCGTCAAAATCTCTCCACCGCGAACCTGGCAAGCGACATATCAAGTATGTCCCAAATAAATCGACCATGTTTGCTCCATCTGAGTCCACCACCAGTTCTTTCACTGACTCACCGGCTCAAAGTCAATCACACCGCCGCCAATGCCGACTTTGCCTGTCCAGTGGACTGGTCTGCAGCCATACGTAGTCTAGTAACAACACTTGCGCGTACATCGGCAGATAATTTTTACGGTGATGTATAGTTAGATGCTGCACAACCGAACATGTATGCCGAGTGGAGAGTGCCACATCTCGCCGTCTCAACATCTACGCTTTACATAACAGTTCGCGCCATAGTCCTGATTCACCGTAGTGCGCATTTGTTCGTTCAGCCACTTTAGAATGGCTTCGGCGCTGGGATGCATGTCGAATCCAACTTGTTGAGCTTTTCTGCCACTGGTCATGCTTTCTTTGGTCAACGGCATTACAAACAACTGAGGTGTCCAACATTCTCCCATCTTGTACACGTTTGTCCGCAACTCATTATGTGATCGACGCTAGTCGAAGAGACAAGCGTGCGGCCAGCCGCTTTGACAAGCGCAGCACGAGGTGTATCAGTCTGATGTGTGGGCTTCCCAACAGCTTGGCATCCCACTGCTGCCAGCGACTTGTGTGTAGCGGTGGGGCGGTCACCGCGATATCCTCGATTCTCACGTACATTATGTTGCCAGACCACGAACGATCTTGTTTATTCGCCATAACCTCTAGAAGCGTAATACCATGGACGTTGCTCTTCTTAGCAATGGTCTGGATGTGAGACGTGTGCATGTGCCAAAGCGTCAACTAAGACGTCTCTAAACGTCGCTATGTTGCTGTTCTTGTCGCTTGCTTTACCAAATTTTGCTGTCGATGCTCTTTGCCAGCTAGCGAAAGGTCACCGGTCAAGCCTGAGCAGGATCCGCAATCGTCGAGCAGCTGGACAAATGGTCATGCAGCGGGCAGGGAGTGGCAGCAGTGTCGGCGTGGCGGCTGCAAAACGGTTTTGAGCGTTGCTGTAATTGACGATGAGCACAGCAGTCCCCTGAGACCTTAGATGGCATGATTTTGCTCAAGTAGTCCAGTGGTACAGAATCTAGCGTTGACACTCCCCAGACTGTACCGTGGTTTGACAAATTGCCCAGAACGTGTTGCGTTCCGCAGAGTGACCTGATTGCTTCCTCGTCCTGGAGCTACAACGCCCAGCAGTATTGCGTCTGTCTACATTTGGTTTGCCATTGACATCGAGGGTGAAAAAGAGAACCGTCGGACGAAATGGCGACAGTGGCGTCGGCGACGCACTTTCCATCGTCACTCGTTGTATGACCGCAAAGTACTGCACTCTGCGTCTTTTGAAGGCCAAATGTGTTTCCCTTTGCTCCATTGGAACTGGATGGCAAGGACCAGAGCTTTAGTATGCACGAGGCGCAAGTAGCGAGGCAGTCGATTGCGGCGTTGGTTGGCGATTCGTAACGACAATGTGCGTGATCGTTGCGGCGTGGTCAGACCCACAGTGATGAGAGGAAGTTGTGCAGTGCGACCTGTTCATCCATTTATGTGGTGTGATGAGTGGTCGATACTCGTCCGTCAACCTGTTCGGCTTCACGTTACCGACTTTTACACTTGGCACCTCTTGCCGCCTGCTTTCCGTACGACACAAATCAAGACTTGGGCTGTCTTCTAGCCGTGGGTCGATCGTGCACACGGCACGGGAGTCCTTCGTTGTGGACGTGTTAGTACGTCAGATAGACTCTGTCCCAGCAAAGAGCTCTGACGTTTTCTTCGTCGACACGGGCTTTAGCTCTCCGAATGGTCTCACGCATTAACTGCTTTTCTACAATTGTCCGCAGCTGAGCGAAGCAGAGCACCGAAAGCTTGATGTTCATCTACAACCTGTTTATTTGGTCTGATTATGGTCGACGCGACCCACGACGTACGCCTGGTAATGGATATAATGAACTCAGTCATCCGTCTAAGAAGATGGACGCGAAGCTGCCGGGGCACCGGCAGGTACACGTCCCGATGCATCCCCACCGGAGGCATCCTCCGATTCGTCAGGTGGGGCTTCCGGGGCATCCCCACCGGAGGCATCCTCCGGTTCGACAGGTGGGGCTTCCGGGGCATCCCCACCAGGAGCAGGAGCGGGCGGACGACCAGGAGTCGGTGCTGGCGAGTCGCCGGAACCAGACTTGGATGACCCTCGCGAGCCCGGACGAGGCACCGGGTTGTTTGCCGATCCACCCGGAGCGGGTCCAGGCGCTTCATCATCGTCCGAAGACCCATCCGGGGCAGATCCAGAGGCTTCCGCATCGCCCGACGGTCCATCATCCGAGGCAGGCCCAGACGACGATGCATCAGAAGTTTCCGAGTCGCCCGTGTCTGGCTTAGGCTTCTTGTCCTTGGCAGGCGGTGACTTGCAGTCCGCGCGAGCAGACTCGAGGATCAGTTCCTCAACCTCAGCGTACACCATACCTAACGACGTGGTAGTCGAGAGGTCAGGTTTGCTGGCAGGGATCCACATGAAGTCAATGTGGGTTGCTTTCGAGCCCGAGAGCCACTCGCCGCCCAGGATCTGGTACGTCTCGTCCGTCTCGAGAACGTATTCGTAGTCGACTTTGGTCGTGAACTTGTCGACGCGGCCGGTGGAGACAAGTGGGCCATTCTCGCCAGACTCACTGACCCAGTAGACACGGGTCGTGACAACCGCAATCTTAGTAGCCGCGTCATTGAACGGGTACTTGTCCACGTTAAAGTACCGCTTGGCAGCCGCTTCAGGCGTTACCCACGCGAGACGGACGATCTCGTAGCCGCGCACGGGCTGGTTCCACACTTCGCTGCCGGCGGTCATGTCGATGACAAACGAAGAATTGAAGCGGCCCATGATGTTCGTCGTGGCAATGTGGAAGAAACCGGGACTAATGTCGCGACGGCGTTCGTCAGTGAAGCGGCCAAACTTGTCCGTGATGTTCGAGGTAGCGTCGTTGCCGTTGAACCGAGAGCCCGTGAAGATGGTCGGGATCTTGGACCCGTGGTACGCCATGGTGATCAAGGCCTTGATGTCGTACGGCTCGAACGTCGTGCCATTGTGCTCGACGACGCAACGCGGCTCGGGCTCGAGGATCGCCGCAGGTGCCCACGCGTGACAAATGCCAAACCACTTGGGAATGCAGTAGCCCATCTTGTGGCCATGGCGCTTGGCGCACACGCTCGTGTCCTTGAGCACCCGGCAGTCTCGCTGGTGCTTGCACTTTTTCCGGTTCTTGTGCTTGTCAATGCCGCTCTTCATCGAGATCTTGTCCATCATCGTCGCGACGTCGTGGCCAAAAGCCGTCGCGTACTTTTCGGCCGGACTCGGCTGTTTCTTGTCCCATTGGTAGTTGATACTGTCGGCGTACGTGGGCCAGTAGCTGCCGGGCCACGGAATCGGGTGGTGCTCGTACTTGGTAGGAAGCTTCGTAATGTCCGTCACGAGCTCGAGGCCGAAGAACTGCTCGAGCTTCTCCATGTCGCGCGTCATTGTCCCCTCGAGACGACGACGCGCGACCGACGGCGCATGCAGTGACCCGGGATCGTAGAGGGCTGCGGGCGGTTCCTGGACCGCGTTCCCCGACCTGCCTCGCGTGTCAAAGGTCGTGGGCGTCGGGGCGGCGTCTTTCGGCAGAAACGCACCCGACCCCGGGAACGTCTCGTCCAGCTCGACGAACTCGTCCGGCACGTCGGTGATGTCCTCGTTGATCGGCCGGGCCGTGACGTGTCGCCCGACGTACACTGCTGCGAGTCCGCACGCGAGTTTCCAGTGCCCCATACTTGGTCACGTACTCCCTCTCAGTCACTCGGTCAGTAGATCAATTGGTCTGCGCGTTAGATGCGGCCTGGCACGTCTTCGTTAAGCAGGTCCACGGACACGTTTGGGCGAAAAAGACTGACGTGTGCTTGCGGTCTCGCGCGCGGGTTGGCGTTTGAACAGCGACTGCCGACCAGTTCACGACGGGCGCGCGCGCGTCCGTTTTCTATCGGCCGTCGCAACGGCACGTTGCTCCGGGATGGGCACAGGTGTGTGTGGATGGGCTCGCGTCGGCGCTGGTCGGTCTCTCGAGCCGCTGCGGACTCGCGAGACCAGGTGGCCCTCGCGTCGGGAGAGCCAGGACCGATGGGGGGTGGGCGGAGCGTGTGCTCGCGCCCCAGTTGTTCGTGGCCGCTCAGGCGCTGCCCTGTCGCGGTCCGCGAAGTAATTGATACCGCCCGAGGAGCTCAGCACATAGCGTGGACGACGGGCGGCAGCGACAAGTTGATGGTGAGGTGGACTTTGGCATGTAAGAGGGGAACAACGCCGTCTGCTCGACGCGTTGTTGCGGGACCACTGCTTTGCTTACGCTTGTGGCAACGAACTACTTACTTGGACAAAGCAGTGGAGGTGCGGGCAGATTGAGGCCGCGTCACCACACAGCTGCCGTGTCAGACTCTGCGATCCGCTCGTACGGCAGACGGGTGTTCTTCATCGGCGTGATAATGCACATACTACGCGTCTCTCTCTCTCTCTCGCTTTCTCTCTCGACTCGACTCGTCACGGCCACAAGGTCAGAGCCGAGCGCACGTCGTTGGATTGAGGAGATTCTGCGACAAAAGCCGGTTTTTTCGGCATCTGATCCTCGGCCGACAGTCGTTGAAGAAGCCTCTGTCGACGCAGGCGGCGTCTTTGCACAGTGTCTCCTGAATGCCATATATGCGCCGAGCTGGTGGTCGATCGCGACCCGTTTCTTGCGCGCGCAATAGCACACTGCGCGGCGAAGAAAACGCGAGCCGATTGATCGAGTGCATCCAGACGGTGGTCGCCAGAAGCGACTGCTACAGTCCCGAGACGTGCCGCTGGTACAGGTGCGAGACACGAGGCGCTGACGGCTTACATTGACCTTATACTCGGCCTTGACCGTGACCGATTGTCAGGCGCGGCACGCGAGACTTTCTTCCCACTGCAAAGGCAATGTGGTCATGTGCGATCGGCAGAGAAGAAAAAGTTGGAGGCCATGTGGGCGACACGTCGATTTGCTGTGACGAGAAGTATGCGCCGTTGAAGATCGCTGAGACTAGAACTCGACTCGAGTGGCGAAATATTCGCAGGCGTCCAGCTGAGAGGGTGGCGACCAGGTGTCGCGTGTTGACTGTTGCAACGTGTTGATGACGAAGGGTTTGATCGGTGTATACACAGCGCCAACTCGCACGAAGCAGTAGGCTTCTGCACGAAAAGAGGTTGTTCGATGCACCGCCGCATGTAGAAGTCCACGACCTGCTTGTGAGCTGTCAAATAGCGATACTGCTGCTTCGTAGATTTTTACGCGTTTTGGATGGCGATCGCTTGCTGCCTCGTTGTAATGTGACGTTTGCAACTTGCCAGTGAGGCTCTTTTGGTGCAGCAAATGGGAATGCAAAGCTTCATGGCGCACGAAACAATGGCAGGATCGCTTTGTGAAAAGCTCGGGCGGATCCCCTCATAAGCGGTGGGACAGTCAGCAAGACACTTGGACTTATGATGGTCCGAGATGGACGCCGTGCCGCAGAATATCATAATATGAGAACCGTAGAGTGCAACAATCTGACTCGTACAGCAGCTCCACATGCAATGCAAGAACGTCTAACGTGTTGCCAATATAGTACTGCGTATCGAAACTGCCTGTGCAATCCATGCTTGCGCTCCACCGGAACCGAGCGCATAGCCGAAACAAGACTAGAAGGATTAGCCACGTGCCAAAGACACTCAGCACCTTCGAGCCATTTGACATGGCGCTCACGTAAATTCGTCTACAGACGCTACTATTTGGTCTTAACTTTGGTATTGCGAGTACGCACGCCACTTTTCGCGATAGGCTGCTGGTCGCAAGCTGCTACAATGACGCTTCTGCAAACTCACGATCAACCGACGTGCATTTCGCATGGTGCTAGTAGGACAATGCGAGATGAAGCAATTCTTGTCGAAGCGCTCAGTATCACAAACAAACTGTCTGTGGTTAGGATGTGCTCGGAGCCTTCGTGCCGTAAGGATCGGCAGTTGTATCGCGGTGCTCTGCTTTTCATATGTCTACATGCCGGCTTCGTACGACATCTACGCACGAGCAGAGCTACCATCAGAAACTAGCTGTGGTGCATGTTTATTCACCGCTCACATCGATGGAACGAAGGCATCGCACGAGTACTTGAGTCTGAGAGAGTCAGCTTCGACACTCCGTAACATACGCCACTTTTCTCCGCTGACGTATGCGCGTATACATACAGCATCTGCATTTGATAGCCGAGGCTGTCACGATCAAGTGAACAGCTCCTTTCCCACAAACAAACACACACACTTGTGGTGTCTTGCGTGGCAACGATCACGTAAACCTGCTCGTTCCCGACCGTGCCACCCTTCGCGCTGCCAAGTGCCCAACTACGTTGCTTGGCTTTATCGCGAGCGTAGTGAGGTCCATAGGGACAGTCAATCGACCTCAAAAGCGTCTAGCATTCTTGCGTACCACCCGAACAACGCGCATCACGAGCACATCGGCTCTATACGCCGTTCCATGTGTCGAAACGCAGTTGGATGGACAGCGGAGTTTGTAGGTGTCTAGCGATTGGGATAGGACTTGAAACAGCAAACGTTTATCATGAATCATCCACACCAGGTTGGCCAATCGATCACCGACGTAGCGATCGCTAGTCTATCGAAGCGTCATCCTGTGTCTAGTTCGAATCAACCGGTAACCTAGCTGAACATCTAAACGCTATCATCATTCTCGACACCAACACGTCCTCTGACGACGTATCGCCTCGTAAAGCGTCCAGCGTCGTCAACGACGTGCAATTCACGTCAACGGCGCGCCGGCAGTGCATGACAGCTCAGCCTATTGAGAGCAAACATGTAATGCCTCAGCAAGCCATATAACCGCTTCAGTCGTATGTAGGCTGCAAGAATACCGGCCATGTACGGCTCGTGCACACTAGTGAGCGTTTGATTGATCTAGCGCTCCAGTCTTTCGATCACACGGCCTTACACCGACAGCAATAAACAACAACAACAATAAACAATATCAACAACAACAACAACAACAACAACAACAACAACAACAACAACAACAACAACAACAACAACAACAATAACGACAACAACAATCACAACAACGCGAACGCAACAAAATCCTGTCGTCAACCTTCGGGCAGTGTTCCTCTTTCCATGTGTCTGTATGCATTGGGATGCTCTGTTCCACGCCCAGCGATCGTCCCATCGTCGACAGTCGCATCTGCGCTGCATCCTTCCGTGACATGAAGCCCTCACCGTCGTCTTGTCTCTGTGTCATCAGCAGGTAAGAGTCGGGGCGACGATCAGGTCTGCGCGCTACCCCATGCAAGTAGCGTTGCAAATGTAGAGAACATTAGTGGCCATCGTCTATTGTTCTACCCAGCTTGTGTCGTGCCTCTTGCACCTGTGCTGTCTGCTTCTTTACAGACCAAAGGGCTGCTGCATTCTTGAGGAAGAATGTATCTGTGTGGCGATCGTCTAAAGTACGATACCTCTCGTCGTCTATCGCCATGTGCGTTCTCAATGACACTGATTGCGGGACTCCACTTGTCACCAAGACGCTCGATACTTACTCAGCCAATAAATGACCTCAGCCTATCCCCTTGCGCCAGTACACCGGTAGCAATCGACCCCTCGTTAGTGACTGTACTCACGTGCTGCACGTAGCGCACGTGATGACGCTCGATTCGTCTTCCGTTTGTGGAGCTCTGATAAATCGAGCGATAGCGTCTGATTGCGCCTGCATTGGATAGAGAAAAAGCACCCGCTGTAGCGATGAAATTGGTTTCTGCAACAACATTTCACAGAATGAAACGATGTTTTCGTTCCTTCATACTGCAGCAGCTGCGACAGTAAGTTGGTCGTGCTTTTGGTCGTGACGCAGAGGTGGACGTGTTTGTTTCGCATGTTCATATCAGCAACAAGGCGAAAAGGTTGACGCATTGCTAGCGACGCAGTGCAACAAAGCAATGTCGATTGGCACGCGCAAGGCGCGTATATGGTTCCACAAACGAGATAGCCAGTTGTCGCTAAGGTGCACGAAGTGGGCGGTTTTGTTCGTGCATGAAGGTGCAATTGTAACATGGTGGGTGCTTGTCGACAAAGGCGAGTCGTGTTCAGTGACGTGTCAAGTCGTGTGTACCAATGGCGATGAGGTCCTGCATCTCGACGCGATACATACAATTCTCTTTCTGCCGAGGTCGCTGGGACACTTTCACGTCGAGTGTTTCGTTTGCTTAATGATTATTTGGACGATCTATGCCCTGTTGCAGTCTCTTTTGTCTCAAATGTGCTTCGGCTTAGCAAAAGCAGTGTAGTTCGTTCAAGAAAGAGGAGAGCAAGCGTGTCGTCGCGAAGTATACAGAGAAGCTAGAGCGGAATATTTGAAGTCTGGTCAAGGCTATTGTTCTACGCGAGTCCATCTCATCGATCGTGCTCTTATGGTACCACGTGAGCAGCCTGTAATGGTAGCATACTGCGGTGGTACAACCACGGTAAGGGTACGTGTGCCCTGTGGTGGTTTACTTATATGAATGAGTGTCGTACTAAGTACGCCTGCTAAAGGCTAAGGCGTTTCAGCCAAGTAAGTGATACGCTTCAGGTTCACTCTCTTTTACTCTTTACTAGAGAATACTTCCTTACAGCTGAGTACTCCGTAAGATGCTATCATCGAGTAGAATACTATGTGAACATCAGTTCGCATTTTAATCGATGAGTGACAAGTGTCTTGTCAAGGTGTCTTCGATTGTTGGAGTTGA